CTCCCTGATCCCAAACTACTACGAAGAAGAGTCTATGCCCCGCACGTCCGCTTCAAACTGTGTTTTGTTATTCGGCAGTGCTCATAATAAAAACAGTGAAATGTTTTGGTTTGCACATATACACTATTGCCAAAACAGTTCTTTAATGTTTACCAAAATTGTATGCCTGAAAATGTCATTTCAAAATCAGACCCCCATGGATAATTGTTAAACACAGAAAATGTATGGCATTAAATTGGCACACTAACAAACGAACGGCATCACTGAGAATTTGACTTCCGCTTTACAGCAGGCTTTGCCAACCCCTTTCGGCATTTGTCTGGTAAAGGCTCAATCTGCCGAGCCCCTTTGGAATCTGCGCAGTGGCGGGTGGGTCGCCCACCCAGGCCATCATCCAGCAAGATAGGAAAACATTACAGCCGCAGATGTTTCGGCGAAGCAGCATTCACCCGTTGCAGGAGCCTGCGTCTGCTGAAATCTCTCCGGCAATCTCAGGGACGCGCCGTGTTGGCTTTCAGCCCACAAGTCTGCGCGCGCATCAACTTTCTTCTGCCCATTTATCTCTGCCGCCACGACAATATGCCAAGCAACCCGATGACCAGTGAGCAGTGCTCACACTGCACCGCATCGTAAAACACCGTAATCTGAAACGTAATAGTAGTAGCATCAATTATAATGAGTAATGAGTCCTTTTTGTTTAGCCGAGAAAGCCGATGCTAAGTCTCAGGAAGGCCCCACTTGGAATATTTGGCTAATTTTTGAATGAGTATTTTTGCGTACAGGAGAATCCGCTGTGTCCATAGGCAACCCACACGTAAGAAGAGATAACACTCAATTCCCAATGGATAGCTTTCCAGTAACCTACTCATTGAACTGTCTCTTACAGGTCAGCAAGTAACTTTGCAGGTGGAGTTTCGTGCAGATGATAGAGTGTGCATGATATACCCACATCCCACCTCTAAAGTGCCAGATTAGAGGCGTGTGGGCCAATAGACATCCTGTGTTTGTTTCTGACATGCAAATCCCACTTAAGTCAACTAATACCAGATTAATAGATTGACTGTTAGTCCCTTCCAATGAAACTTTGTTCTGTAATGTAAACAGCACATTATTATTTGCCAAGACACAGCCTGGAATATCCTTTAACAGTTAAATTTTCAATCATCGTTTTACTCTTAACCACTTCAAAGATGAATTTTCGCTGCTTTACTACAATTCCATATTTTTCTACCTGTGGTTGATGCAATGAGTCAAACACATTTTGGAAAGTAAGCATTGGTTGCCCTAAGCCCTAAGGGGAGAAGGGCCTCTGCCACAGTAATGAGGAATTTCCACCACTGGTTCAAGACCAGTTAAGGAAACAAACACTGACCCAATGCTCATACGAGCTGCGAGAACACCGACTCTTTTATCATCTCACTTAGCCTCTGTCACAGAATTGTGGAATTTCCACCACTGGCTCAAGGTCAGCAATAAAGCTGAGCACTGTCCAACAGTCCTTTAGGTGTGATAACATGAAAACGCTTCTGATTTGCCAATAATTAACCCGATACCATGACCCGAACCTGTATATTGGTGTTGGGTTCTGCCGGTCTATTGACACAGGGCACAGGCGAGTGACTGCGGATTTCCGAGCTAGGCCAAGAGCCACAATTTATTTAAACCCACAACACGTACAGTGCATATGCCTCAGTAGAGAGGGGTGGGAATGGGCTCTCAATCACCAGCCGGGCATGAGGAGCCCGTGCCCTCGATTGTCGCGTGCAAGTTTCTTTGCCGCCAGGGGCACAACGCTGCATTGTAACGCGAGCGTAAATCCCTTCGAGATCCCCCCAGCTTCCAACTACCCCCTTGTACCCATGCATGTGTTCGCTAAAACCAAGAACGATTTACTGGCGGCGGGATAGATGTGGGTCCAAGACAGGACTTGCATTAAATCTGTTTACCTGCATTCCCGATGTAGGTGGTGATTCACGCGACTTAAGATTGGTTTTGCTAAACGAGTTTGTGACCCGTGGCTTTTATCTTGCCTTGCGCTGCTAAGCGTCACAGCGAATAAATGATTGATGTTCACCTAATTTGTGCCCATTTATGAGTCAAAGCATCTCCCAGCTCAAATAACTAAGCACATGTTTATATACAAGTGTGAGGATTATGGACCATACTTTTCAATGCTGGTCAGTGCGGGTTGGAGAGCATAGAACAATACAACAGCAAGATGTTGGTGCATTGTTCTCCGATGACAACATATTCCCACAGCAGCCTCCTATACCTTCATTATGCACGGTGGTCACCCATCTAAGCACAATCCATGTTCAACTCCGATTAACTTATGTGATCTGTGAGAATTGAGACACTATGCGATTTGTTCAAACGAGTATTGGACAGCATATTAATAAATTCCACATTCCAACGACAGGTGCCAGTCTAACTATAGGACAACCACAGGTTAACTTCCCCAAGACTCGAGACGAATTAAATACCGAAGCATTATAAGCAGCATTGCTACATTTACTGCTTATTCTGGTGCTTTGTAATCGCATGTCTGTACTGTATTTCTATACACATGTGCCAACATAATTCAAATAACAAATGGAGCGTGGAGTATAATAAACAGCACGAGAGATATGTAAAGCATAGTATAGAATACTTGCCAAAAAAGCAAAACACACTGCACAATGACAAAAACTCCCTAGACATGTCATGTGGAATGCATCTTTAATCTCACTTTACTGGAGCTGAGTTAATGCAAACTCTGTATGACAGAAGTGGTCGCATAATCCATAGATTTTTCTTCAGAAAAAACCGTGGTTTATGGTAGCGTACCACATGATATACGTATGCCAACGTTTGTGTGCACACGAGTACTGTAAATATGCACGTGCGGAAACGTACAAGCGCATGTATACATTTATACAATACACAGTAAATGTGCTACTTCTATACCTGTCAACCCATACGTTTTACCCAATATTCTTATGCAAGGAAATGTCGTTTTTAGGTCCATACGGGGTACAGCCGTTTCAGTATGGGCAAAAAAAATGCGTTTATTTGTTTGTATTTCTCTCTTGTGATGGGACTGTAGGATGAACGTTGAGATTTATAAGGGCACGGGGTGACCAATAAGGTCTGAATTGGTCTGTAATAAGGTAGGGGCACTGATAAGGGGTTGACAGGTTTATGTACTTACGTGCACACGGTGATGTTTGCAAGATACATAATTTGACCGTTGATAGCGTATATGCACACACACGTGCTAAACCCATTCATATATATACAATTTTGTAAAAATGCACACCCCAAACAATTAACATTTCATCCTATTTAAGTGTACAATGTACAAACAAAAGCCCATGAATCTGCATATGTTATTTATATGCACGCATAAATAATCGTATTTATGTGGGGTGGTGGTGGGTTTAACGACACATATATTTACGCGATCTAACCCAAAAACCTCTATTATGGATAATATCGCTCGCAAAAAGCCGAGGACGTGTGACACTGTGTATGCAGACCACACATCACAAGTGTACGAATTGAAAGCATACAATCAACACTTATAATACTCACAACATAAACTTACATCACTAGAATACGCCCCGCTAAGGCTACACTCAAGAGCATTTTACGATTCATGAACACTACAACACGAGTGTACCCAAACACAGTTTGTATACATATATATTCCCCAATACCGTTATAACATTTACCACGCTCTCTCAATAAACCACTGAATTAGTCTCTCAATAAACCACTGAACAAGTCTCCCTCGCGTCGTGTTACACGTCGGCGATAGGGTACGGGGGTCGTTTAACCATACTTCACCAATCGAACTCAGGTGCCAAGCTTCGAACAGCAATGCACCGTGCAGAACGTACACGTGATTCTGCATAAGTACATACACGAGTACACAAATCTGCAACTTCACAGTGACGGTAACGACGTTAATATATTCGGGAATATACGGTAGAGTGCACAAATTCCTGTCCGTGTGAGATTAACGAAGTCAAAATACCTTTAACGCTTACGAAAGAACATTACATCTCTCCCATTGCAGTGGGGCAGTCTGATTTCCTCTTTAGATGGCGTTGAATATTGATGTTTTAAAAGCACTGCTTCACTGCCAACGCAGTATCACCACCACAACAACAACAACGAATCAAACGAGTAACCCGGGGCGCTGCTCATCTCCGCAACGACGGCAATTCCACATTCCTATGGCCCGTAGGCAGGGCTCCTACAGCCCGTAGGTCCACCGCTCTCACAGTGTACAGAGCCCCTCCGGCGCATGCTGCAACACATGGCACGGTACACGTCGGCAAAATCACAACCAACGCGGGCGAGACTCCCCGAGCGTGGAGGAGGAGGACGACGATGATCACACGGAGTCGCATGTGCAGCAGCAACAGCAACAACACAAACCATCCCAGACTCGGTGCTTAAGCGCAATGATCAGTGGGCATCCAGCAGCAGCAACAACAACAACAGCGTTGTTACACAAGGCACGAGACGAAACGTGCAAAGGCATCGCACACACACCGCAACTCTTGACGGAGTGTTGACTGCCATCAGCTGTTAATCGACCGAGATTACGGCCGTGCATAAGCATCGCCCTCTATTTGGTTGAGTGTCCGGCGACTGCCCCCAGACACCAGTTTGAATAAGCGACGATCGCGAGGCAAACAAGAAGCTTCAAGTCACTGCGAGGACGGCAGCTTGCCCCGGCAGATTAAGTCGCATGAGTACCACGAACGAAGCTACTGCCCCTGCACCCCCCCCCCCCAAACCCTCCTCCCGGCAACTTTAAGAGTATTTGTTTTTAAATTTCATTCACGAGGTTTTTATTAAACTCGCGTGCGTACATTGCGCGTTTGGCCGCACGCAGGGAACAGGGGAACGAGGGTCAAACAATACGAACCCGTTCCCACGGACGACGTGAAAACACCACAACGCAAGTCGCAACATCACGGAGAGGCCTACACAGAGAGAACACCGACCTCGCCTAGATCCACTTGCCCGGACGTCTTCGGGTCGCGCCGGACGCCGCCCCCCCCCCCCGCCGTCGTCGTCGTCAAGCCTCGGGGAACGCCGATTTCGAGGCGATGTTTCGCAGTCGAGCGAGGGCGAGTCTCGTCCCTCGGGCTACCGGATTTAGGAGGGAGCGTTGAGTCAATAACAGCGGTGGTGGTGGCGACTACACCGCGGTTAAAAATTGTGTGTTAACGGAGCTCAGACCCAGCCGCTGCCACTGCCTCACACGCGAGCGCGGACGGACAAGCGCCGCCGCCGTGACGTCACCCGTGTGGGAGCAAAGCGGGGGAGAGGGAGGAGGGCTCGTGCTGACGTCACTCGGGCGGAGCTACTGAAAATGACGTCATGTGACTCCTCTCATTCAACACCCCCCGCCCGCCAACCAAACTACCACCCCCCCCTCCCACCAACCCCCCCCCTCCCACCAACCCCCCCCCCTCCCACCAACCCCCCCCACCAACCCCCCCCTCCCACCAACCCCCCCCTCCCACCAACCCCCCCACCCACCAAACCCCCCCCCCACCAAACCCCCCCACCAACCCCCCCTCCCACCAACCCCCCCCTCCCACCAACCCCCCCTCCCACCAACCCCCCCCACCCACCAAACCCCCCCACCCACCAAACCCCCCCCACCCACCAACCCTCCCCCACCCACCAAACCCCCCCCCACCCACCAAACCCCCCCCACCCACAAACGACCCCCCAACCCACGAAACCACCCCTCCCCCCACCTTAATCGTGTGAGAAGACGTCATTTGCCCGCGGAGTTGTGTTGTGTAACGGTTTTTCCCGACGGGCTGCCGTCACCCACCTGAGGCAATTCGCGGCGGTGACGTCACGCGCCCGGGTCGTGTACGTCACCGGAGAGGTGTCAATCTGGCGTGACGTCACAATTATCGGCGGCTTAAATTGTCGTACGCCACGTGCGATAATCGTCGGCGTATACATTAGCACAAGTAAATTAAACAACGAATTCATGTTCTTAGGTTTTTTCGGTAAAGTCACGTAGGTAAAAAAATAATAAAAGTATTTTTTTAATTTTAATTTTTTACCTATGTGACTTTACCGAAGAAACCTAAGAATATGAATCCTTGCAGTAACGAAAGCTTAAAATCTAGAATCAACGAATTCATGTTTTGTACAGTAAATAACGGCGTTTTTTCATGATTTTAGTTTTATGTGAACGGTAATGTTTAACAAACGCCAATGCGTTTAAATAAGCAACTATTTATTTGTAACTAAAGCCAGTGCAGCAAACGTTATTGTTGAACTGCACTTGAGTGGGAAATTCACGAACCCCATCACTCACCAGCGTGGTGAAGTATGGTAAAATAAATAACCGCCATGACCTGCACAGTTTGGGGACGCCTCTCATCCAGCACATTGTGTTTGGTATGAAACGTTTTAAAATTTTAATTATCTTGCAAAAACTATCCACTTAGTTTGCTCTGTAAACAATTATGACACTTATAACGTACGCAGTATTTCACAGACATAAAACTATAAACCCAACTACATTTATTTAACTAGGTGAGGCCCACTGAGCTGTTTCGCTCTTCTTCAGAAGCGACCTGACTATCACAAATGAGAAGCTCAACGAAGTGGCTTATCATCACGTGGGAATGTATAACAAACAAATACTCTAAACGCATGTTTATACATGTGGAGGGAAAAACAGGAGAACCCGGATGAAAATCCACGCGACCACGGGGAGAGAGACACCGCAAACTCCAAATATAAGGCAGGCGTCCGGGTCAGAATCGAACCCACGACTTCCTGCATACCAGGCGAGGCAGGTGACATCTCGCCAAAGAAGCGCCGAGGACGACGGGGCCGAGATGGTGCTTGCGACCGTTGCAGAGATTCTCGATATTACTCGATGGAGATCGAACGTGGACAGAGTTGTGGAAGTCGGGTCGAGGTTGTGAGTTCCAATCCCAATGGACAAAGAGCCCTGAGTTGTAAGTTGCGAGATCTGATTACGTGGATGGTGCCACTGTCAAAGGATATGATCCATTGAGTCGCGAGTCAAAATCAGAACATTTAAACTGGTGGAATCCGATTTAAAGCTTTCGTGACTGCAGGGATTCAACTTCTTGGTTCTTTCGGTAAGATAGAGGAATCCGATGAGCTATAAAGCTCTTTTTCACAGATGTCCAATAAGGGGCTGATCACAACGTTACGTCCGACCCAGCGTGACGACGAGCAAAGTGATGTGATTGCAGGAATGGACGGTGGAGCCAGAGATTAATATGCTCGAAGGAAGTTAAATGTTGTGCTGCGGTAGTTATATTTACGTCACTGTGTAATGTTAGTTAATAGTAGCCGTGATTGTATGCGGCTTGCATGATTTTGATGAATTCCCCTGTCAGGTTGGCACCTTCCCTACTCTGCAATGAACAGCGTGGTGAAGAATGGTCACGAACCTCCAAATAAATGTCACAAAAACCATGGTCCTCCAGTCCCCAGGAGCTCTGGTGTCATCAACCGTGACATCTGCTGGATGGGTGAAGGATGTTCCAGACGTCACATGCGATGAATTTACCACTGTCCTTCACTGTGGTGCTCATATCCATGGGCAGCCCTGTGCTCGTGGTGGAAATTCCACATTCCTATAGCAGGGGCCAATCTCTGCATAGGACAGCCACTGTCGATTGCTCACAAATTGTTATGAATTTTGTCCAATCTTCTGCCTCTAATTTCCCCAAATATCGCGTGGGTTTTCTCCTCTTATAAAGCACTGCAAAAGGATAAGGCGAAATGTTTTTTTGGCAGTTTGAAATTAAAACACTATGTTTTCACATAACAGAGAAAAATATTTTCATTACCAGACTGTGGAATATAATATTCCAATGAGTTTAAACGACGTACACATTACGAATGATAATACTGCACTTATTCAACCAATGCGTAAAATATATAGGTCCCTTTACAGCCAAATAAAATAAAATGTAGAAAAATAATCCAAATCGCTAAAATGAAACAGCTATCACACGCAAATGTTGCCTGCGTATATGTGCCAATTAGCGACTGAAGATGTGAAATCAAATTATATTTTCATGGTAATGACAAATGTAGTGCAGACACTATCTAATTTCATGTAACCGAGACATCATGCTTAAACAATTTAAATCCAATTTCATTATTGCTTTTGGGATGCAATGAAGGTACTTGAATAGTTTCTGTCATTGCGAGGCTTACGTGTGCACCCAGGAACTGCAGTATATAATTTGAATCTGTAACGTTTTACCATACATCTAACAACTTTAATCATCATCATCACCCATGAGTAATCCACTGCTGGATGAAGGCTTTCGCAGCTGATCTCATCACCCCATCTCCTTGGTGGGCGTCATCTTGGGCGTGCCCTCTCCTTTGGCTGCCACTTCATGATTATTCGTGACCATCTGCCATCCACACTGCTCATGGCTCATCTTGCCCAAGTCGATCTTGGTGGCGAGATATTCCCTCCCTCGTCTGGTGCATTATGCAGGAGGTGGTGGGTTCGACCCCAGCTCTGACGCCTGTATGTTTGGAGTTTGCATGTTCTCCTCGTGGTCGTGTGGATTTTTCTCCGGGTCCTCCGATTTTTCCCACAACATTTAGAATCAACATGCGAGGGCGGCTGCTTGCGTTGTGGCCGAAACGTCGTGAGAATTATTTTATTATGTTTTATTTTTATTATTTTATTATTTCCCTTCTACGTGACTTTACCGAAAGAACCAAGAAGATGAATCCCTGCAGTCACGAAAGCTTTAAATCGAAAAATTATTTGGCTGCTATAACATTTCCACGTGATAAGCCACCTCGCTGAGCTATCACTTGTGGCCAGGTCGCTTCTGAAAAATAGCTAATAATAGCTGAGTGGGCTTTACCTGGTCAATAAAATAGTTTCGTATTGATATTAATGAAGAGAAACATCAATACTGTAGGGAGTCAAAAATCAAAGTGTCTGTCGATTTTAATAATAATATCATTATGCTTATTTCACCTGGTAGCCTTGTGTTCAGAGTGGTGGAAATTCCATATTCAGAGGGTGGGGGCCAGTCTCACCACAGGACAAGCCATTAATTGTATTTAAATTCTATGAAGGAATGGTGCTCTGTTTAAACCCCCAAGTGTGATATAAATTGACAACCTTCTGACTGTGAGACAAGTGGTCTAATCACAGAGGCACCCAGCTGGATTCGGCATTATTGGTGAGCAACTAATTTTAATGAGATCCTGCAAAACAATTATTTTGGCAATACAGTGGAGAGTCGTAAATTTTGTTGGAGGCAGACATCCTCAACCCGAGCCGTCGCTCTTTGCAAGAGATGCCTTGGTGGTAGGTGTTCTTTTTAGTTGACATAGTTTAAAGCGAGGTCCCGTTATTTTTTTCCTGTGGACATTACAGATCACTGTGGACTTCTAAAGATCTTCAATAAACAGCAAGCGTGATAATCCCCGTATCCAGGCTAAAACCTCACTACAAATCAATGAAGTCTTTGGCTTGGCCAAATTCCTACCCCATCTGGCTAATTCCCAACAAATCAATTACATCCCTGTGGGGCATGAAGAGCTCTGAAAACAATCTCTAACCATCATACATTTGTTTTACATTTCACGTAATTACACGACATTCAAATTACTCTCTGTAAAATTTAGTCCGGTTGCGCTGTGGTAAGAGTGCTTGACAAACAAAGCAGTCAATTTATCCTATCCACTCATTCATCATCAGCCAATATCCATCCACTGCTGAATGAAGACCTCCCCAGATCATCATAAACTAATCTCATTGCCCCATCTGCACGGTGGCTGTTAATCTCGGGGATTTTCCCTCCTTCGGTTGCTATTTCGTTACCAGTCCTGTTTATCAGCTATCGGACAGTTCGCGTAAAAAAATACGTATAGTTTAGGGAGAAAGTGAATTTTCGATGGTGATAAGCAACAGATGGAAATACCGAGAAAATCAAATTGATTAAATGGATGTCATCACTTTAAATAATGAGATGACTGCTATTATAGTGGATAGTGCGCCGAGAATTAATGGTTTCAAAGTGATCTAAAAGCGCACGAAGCACATTGAAGAAGAGCCGAGGTATGGAAAGCCATGAAAATGCCAAATAAAACATACAATTCATGGAACTCTGTACCGTCCCTCTCGGGTCAATAAAATAGGTAACTTTGTGAAAAGTTAGCGGTGGCTGCCCGATAGGGAAACTGGTCCCCGCCATATGAATGTGGATTTTCCACCACTGACTAAGGGCAAAAACTT